GAGTTTGCTGGTCAAAAAGTGAATCTCCATAAATCTTCCATGTTCTTGAGCAAAAATTGTTCAGTTGAATTGAAAGAAAAGATTTGTTCTATTCTACCAGGGGTGATTGTGGAGAGGTCTTCTAGGTATTTAGGGCTCCCCCTGGGGATTGGGGCATCAAAGATTGAAGCTTTTCAGTTTGTAGTGGAGGCTGTCATGAATAGAATTTGCAGTTGGAAGAATCAGTTTTTGTCTACTGCTGGGAAAGATATATTGATTAAGGCAGTATTGAATGCACTGCCAATTTTTGTCATGTCCTGTTTTGTGTTGCCATCTGGGATTTGTAAGGAAATAAGTAGATTGCTGGTCGAGTTCTGGTGAAAAAAGGGGAGGGAAACAATAAAAGGGTCCATTGGCTGGCTTGGGAGAAGATGACATGGTCTAAGCAAAATGGGAGCCTTGGTTTCCAGAATATCAAGTCCTGCAACAAAGCTCTTATTATTAAACAATTATGGAGGATTTATGGGAAACCAGAGATGCTGATTAGCAAAGTGTTGAAGTCCAGGTACTTCCCTTCTTGCTCTATCTTTGATTATTCTAAAAAATTTGGTGTCTCTTGGCTCTGGAGTTCTTGGTCTGCTTTAATTCCTTGGCTGAAAAATCATTTGAGTATTGTGATAAAGAATGGAGCTGATACAAGGCTTGATAAGTATGGGTGGATCCCTTTGATGAGAGGGGAGAAACCTGAAATGAGGATGCATTTAGATCACAGTCTATTCAGGGTTAAAGATCTTCTGATTAATAATGGTAAAGGCTGGGATGAAGTGCTGTTGAAAGCATTATTTCAACCTGCAGTGGCTGAGAAAATCATGGCCATTAACTCCCTTAATCCCAGAGTTGCAGATCTGAGGAAATGTACCTTTTCTGATAAAGGTAGGTTTTCAGTTATAAAGGCTTATGAGGAGTTCCGCAGGATAGATTGGAGTTTGAACCATTGTGCTGAAACAAGTAATCTAGCCCAAAACAATAAGAGAGCAAGATTGAGGTGCTGGAATCTCAAAGTAACAGGTAAGCTCAAGATTTTTATTTGGAGATGCTTTACT